GTATGTATGTATGTATGTACGTACTGATGTTTATATACGTGTCGCCAACGGAAGCAGCAAACCGCATAACAACAGCAACAACGGTGAGAATAATACCAATGACAATGACAACGGCAAAACAGCGTCTGCAACATCAGCAACGGCAGCAGGACCAAAATTTACGGATTACGATGAAAAAAGCCTGCTCGAGTCGAGTCTCCCACGGTCACGATCGCGGCTCCTAGCACCTGGGAGGAGGAGTAGCGCTTCCCGAATAGCAAGAACTGGATGACCAGGCCCACCATCCTCAGATCCCAGATCTTAAGATTTCCTGAGCGCCCCAGCACAGTCGGACGAGAAGGTCAGAGAAAAACGGAATGCTGCTTTTGCCAAATGACATTCGCAGGTTCGAGAGCAGGAAGCCTGAATGCTCCAAGGAGCTGTGGGATGCACCCTTCACCCTTGCATTTCTTGGCGTACATTCAAAACCAGGGCTTGGCAAGCAGCAGACCGACGTGGGAAGCCTGGAGAAGGCATCGGACTTGAGCACCGTGAAGGAGCACCAGAGAAATGCCATCAGAGCATGGAGTCTGAGAGGGATCTGCCTGCAGGGAGCAATGTGATGACCTGTATGGAATCAACGGGATCCAAGCACAGCAGTGCCAGCTGTGGCCCTGCACATGTTCATGAGCGGAGAATGCAGAGAGGCCTGTGCTTCAACAGCGAGGAGGCTCGCGGTATAAAGCGAGTAAGAATCACCTGCGTCCAAGCCAAGGTTCAGGGTCAGACAAAGCCTCCAAGCGACCATGCCATGAAGTCCAAGACTGAACACCGCCACGATGCCACGTGTAGAATGAAGTTGAAGCACAGTGCGCTCTTCGGGTCGCGCTGGAGGAGCTTGCTGTAGGGCCACACGACGGACTTGGCCAGTAGCCGTGCAAGCGTGCAGCCCCATGATCTGTACTCTTTAAGACAAGCAGCCGTCCCGACCACTATGTACGAGATGGCGACGGGCAGGTATGGTGGCGCATTCTCGTTCCTGAAAAGGCTACCATCACGATGAGTGTTCCTGCTCCTGAGATCCTCATCCCGCCCTTGCGCTGAGGCTGCTACTACAGTTGATGATTGATGGTTCAAGTCTTGGTTTTACTCTGCCTCCTGCCTTTACTTCACTCCTGTTTTTATGTCCATTCCTCAGGCTACGATTGCCCCTCCTCGTCATGCTACCTCTGTTCTAGTCCTTCCCGTGCTCCTAGTCGCCTACTCCTCCTGACGACGACTGCAATATACCGCACCACACCGCACAGTTCCGTACGTCCAGCACAGCAAGCTATACCAGCAGCATTGTTAAAAATCTCTGGAATAAGAAAGTAGGCCCCTTCGACCAGGCGTGCAATCACATTCTTTGGCAACCAGGCACATAGTCAAACAAATCCTGCGGGGTTCCCTGACCTCGGGCTCCCAATCTCACGTTGTCTTTCCTCGATCTTGCTTTCTGCTGCTGCTTACGCAAAAAAGCAGAACGAATGAAGCAAGTGAGGGTTCGGGTTACGACAGTGATGCCGATGCTGGTTGATGATGACGACGATGATGGCAACATTAGTGGTGGCCATGGTGGTGAAGCTGTTGGCGAGGCCCTGCATATCTCATGCACCCCGCCCCCCTGTCATAAACAGCTGAAGGGCTGCTCCCGGTGGAGAGCTCGTTCAATCAGGCAAGGAAGCTTTTGCTGTTCCTGGGGCACCTCGGCGAATTCAGGCTCAAGACAACACAACAACCGCAAAATTGTGCGTAATCCCTCTAATCCCTGAAGCAAACAGGCATTGCTTCAGGAATGGATTGATCCCAATGCTGCCCAAGCTTGCAAAAAAAAACAACTTCTCGCGGTTCATCCAGGGGGCAGGAGCAAGATCCTCCAGGCTCGCCTGGATTTCAATTTCAACACCTGCATGGCAAAACTTCGGCACACATACATACAAGCATGCATACATAGATGCACATCGTGTGCCTGCGCCGGCAGTCGACAGCTCCCGAACCAGGCCAGCCTCTGAGATTCAAGATCCACTGGCAAGCACAGTGTCGGCGAGGACGTTAGGTTCACAATTACACTAGGAACTTGGGGAGTAGTTGCACTGGAAATCTATACTCTATTCGTGAAACTTCACACTGTGTTGACCAAAGAGGGCGGGAGAGAGAGAGAGAGAGAGTGACGGAGAAGCACAAGGTGAATACACGACCGAGCGAACGACAGAGCCACGAATACGATTGGCACATTTCTGCGTGTGCGTGTGTGTGCGCGCGTGCATGGACCTGTCCCCCTGTGGGCGCTTGAGTGCGTGTGAGCGTGTGCACCGCTGCAGCAACATGCATATGTGTGTGTATATACGTATGTATGTATGTATGTATGTATGTATGTATGTATGTATATATGTGTGTACGTAGTACGTATGTATGTCGTTCTTGTGTATGCATTTATGATTGATGTACGTGCACAAGTCTTTGCCCATGTTCGCACATGTGCCAGTACGCATACATGCCTGCGCGAGTGAAGTTTTACATGCATGTACGAATGCAACATATCTGCATCTACGTGCACATGCTATGTGGCCATGTATGTACCTATGTATGCATGAATGCACGCATGCTTGCATCTGTGTGCAAGATGATGCACGCAGCATGCATGTACATACGTGCACACGTACATACGTGCATGTGTGTGTGTGTGTGCGTGTGTGTCTGTGTGTGTGTGTGTGGGTGTGTGTTGCGTGTGTGCGTTGGGTGTGCGTTGGGTGTGTGTTGTGTGTGTGTGTGTGTGCGTTGGGTGTGTGTTGTGTGTGTGTGTGTTGGGTGGGTGTTGTGTGTTGTGTCTGTTGTGTGTGTGTGTGTTGTGTGTGTGTACAC